TATCAAAGCTTACATTAGTGAACTAAACAGCCTCTCCAACACAAGGGGTAAGGAAAACTGGATATCTGCTTATGCAGGAATGAAACTAGATGCATCTCTCTCATTCCATACAGAAGTCTATTCAAGCTGGGTGACGGTGGTGCACGCTTTTAACTCCAGCACTTTGGAGACAGAGGCAGGTGGATCTTGTAAGTCCGAGACCACCCTGGTCTACTGGGCATGTTCCAGGACAGCCAGGACTGTTACACAGAGAAACCCTGCCTTGAAAAACCAAAAAGAAAAAAAAATCTATTCAAAATGATCCAAGATCTTTATATAAGGCCTGGATGCCTGACTACTCTAGAGCAAAGCATAGGCCAAATACTCCAATATACAGGAAAAGGAAGGACTTTCTGAGATCAACAGGAGCACACGCTATTGTACAACACCGCTGGAAGGAACTCAAATGGTCCTGGCACAGAAACAGACAGGTAAACAGGTGGGATAGAACAGAGGACCCAGAAATAATCCCAAGCATTAACAGATGGGCTTGCATGCAATTGGAAAGCTTCTGAACAGCCAGGGAAACAGCCATCATAGGGAATACAGCCTATAATGGGAGCAAAGCTTTGGCAGAAGATGGGGGATTAATGTCTGAAACTTATGAAGAACTCCAAAAAAATTAAACACCAAAAAATATTATCCAATCAATAAATGGACTAGTAAAATAACTACGGGGCTCTTGAAGGAAGAAATATGAGTGACCAATAAATATTTGAAAAGTGTTCAACCTCCTTAGCCACTGGGAAAATGAAATTTAAAGTACTTTAAGATTCCATCTCAACCAGGAAGAATGGTAGTTATTATCAAGAAAGTGAATGGCAGTGGATAAACCCTTCTTCACTTCTGGGGGCAGTGTCTGCTGGTACAGTCACTGTGGAAATCAGTGCAGAGTCTCTCAAAAACCGGAAGTAGAACTTCCATGTGACCCACCTATGCCATTCCTGGTTATGTGTTAACAAATGTAAGATCTTTATCATTTACATATGTGATAGAGGATCAATGCCTCATCAAAAAAGCTCCTGACAGCCGATGGAAACTAACACACACCCATCACTAGACAAGGTGCAGAGAGTGAGAGACTGGGAGCACTCGGTCCTAAGTGGGATGTCTTCATCGAGCCCTCCGCTCCAGGCTCAGAGAGCTGAGTGGGAGAGGAGACCGAAGGACTGTAAGAGACAGAGGGGATAGCTGAGTCAAAGGAAACAGTATCTGCCAGACGTAACAGGACTGACATAAATATGAACTCGCAGAGTCTGGGGCAGCATGCACAGGGCCTGCACAGGTCCAAGTCAGATGAGAACTCAGAACAACACTGGAGGGAGAAAAGGACATGGAGATCTGCTCCTAATCAAGAAACTGTTTGCAACTGATACCTGCTGGCAAAGAGAAAATCACTTTTCTCTAATAGAATGTCTCTGGATATATCAGCCTCATTCCAAGACAGTTCCCATACCAAGGAGTAGTTGCCAAACAAAATTCACAGTGTGTATATGTGTGTGTGCACGTGTGCACACATTTTATCTGGCTTCTTTAGTGTCTTGGTGATATTTGATTTTTAGCTTGGTGTTTGTGTGAGGGGAGATTGTTTCAGAGAGAGAGAAAGACAGAAAATAGAGTTGAGTGGATTAGACATGAGTAAGATCTGGAGGAGTTGAGGGAGGAGGGAAATGTAACCAAAATGTACTGTATGAAAATTTTTTAAATAAAAAAGAACAACAAAATCAATGTAAGTGTGTCTAAGTCACCACACCACAGAGACACTTGCGCATCCACATTTATTGCTCCACTATTTACAGTAACCAGGATATGGAGCCAGGCTGAATGCCCATCAGCAGACAGGAAGGTAAAGAAAATGTTGTGCATACATGCAATGGAATTTGATTTTGCTGTGACGAACACTGAAATGATGAAACTTGCAGGAACATAGGTGGAATTGGAGTAGGACATGTTGAGTGCAGCAATCCAGACTCAATATGACAAATGTTGCATGATTTCTGTCATACGTGACACAGCAGTGGAAAGGGGACTTTGCTGGAGGAAGTGATGAAGATATATGTCATAAAGAGATGGGCTATTTTGAGAGAGAAAGCAGATCAGGAAGGGAAGTGACAATGCAGGTGGACAGTGGGAGATAAATAAGAATGAAGTCAAATTATTTATATATGTGCATATATACACGTGTATGTGTGCGTGCGTGTGAAACTGCTGTAGTGAAACCTGTCACCTTATAAGCTAACTTAAATTAAGTTAAACACACAATAAAAGAAGCAAATAGGAGTTGGGGGTCGCTCTGTAATTGTTAGAGAAGACTGGACAGAGACACATAGGGTGCTTGGACTCTACATAACTAGAGAGATGAGGGGATTTCTGTTTGATTTGTTAACTTTTGCTTCTAGATAAGTTCTCCCTTCAGGCTTAAGAAGCTGAAGTCAAGCCCTTGCATACTTAATCCTGCATCGGCATTTGCTTCCAGAAGTTTCTAGACAAATGTAGGGCTATTTTTGAAGAAAGGGTTCACTTATAAACCCAGCCCCTAGTATCAAATAGATTTTCAGTTAGTGAATTAACACCGATTCAGGAGCCAGTCAATGAACACCGAGGTTTCAATAATGGTTTTTAAATCAGAAAAGAAAAGGGCCCAGAAAGCACAAACAAAAATCATTCTTTGCTCACTCGTAATACCTCTGGTCAGCCCAACTGCTCCCTATGCTGTATATCTGAACCCTTTCTCTTTTATAATATTTAGTTTTAATTTGAAGTGTGTGTGTGTGTGTGTGTGTGTGTGTGTGTGTGTGTGTGTGGTGCAGATGACTACAGAGGCTAGAAGAGGGCATCGGATCCCCTGGAGTGATCATGTTGCATCCACAGTCAGGAAGCAGAGAGAGAAGAATGCTGGCGCTCAGTTCCCTTTCTTCTATATATTCAGTTATTCAGTCCAGGATCCCAGCCCAGGGAATGGTGCTGCCTACACTTCCAGAGAGTCTTCCCACCTTAATTAACTGAACCAAAACAATTCCTCACAAATGTGCCCAGAGGTGTGTCTTATAGGTGATTTATCAAGTTGACAGCTGAATAAGCCATCGCAGAATCTTTATTTCCAAAAGCCAGTCTAGAACTGCCCAGAAAGGAGTGTCGATTCAGTGGGTTTGTGCTTGGCATGTCAATGCCGAAAACTTACCATGACAGAGAAAAGTGATTCATTTAGTAAAACCACAGAAGCTTAGATGAAGAGAAACCAATGAGCCACATGGCAACAGAGCACATAAAACAGCAGGAATTGCTCGCACTGGAACCTTATCAGCAAATAAGAGGTGATTAAAGGGGGAAAATAAACAGCTTTAATGCTTTTGCATGGAATGGCTGCAGACTTGCCCTGAGTCAGTTATAGAAATAACTCACTTTTCACCAGTAAGCTATGCTAAACATACAAACAAGACCTGGGTTTGTTTCGTATATCATTTTTTTAAAGATTTCTTTTATTTTAAAATTAATGTGCATGCGTGCATGTGAATGTAGGTAGCTGCAGAAGCCAGAAGAGAGCATTGGATCTCCTGGAGCTAGAGTTTACAATCAGATAAGTCACCCAGTCGAGGCTTTGGAAGCCAGGGCCTCTGCAAGAACAGCCTATGTTCTGAACTACTCAAATGTCTCTCCAGCCCCTAGAAGAGCGGTTGTCAACCTTCCTAACGCTGTGACCCTTAATACAGTGCCTCACGTTGCGGTGACTCCCAACCATAAAATTATTTCCATTGCTATTTTGTAACTGTGATTTTGCTACTGTTAAGAATATTAATGTAAATAGCTATTTTTGATTGTCTTAGGCAACCCCTACAAAAAGGTCATTCCCCCCTGCCCCAAAGAGGTCATGACCCATAGGTTGAAAACCACTGTCCTGGAATATCATTTTAATGATATCTAGGCCATAGGTCGAATCATCACGTAGCCTGTGTGGTTTCAAAGAGAGAAAAGCTCAATGTTCCCTTTAGGCCACTCTGTTGACCAAAGCCACCTTTCTGTGGGAAGAGGTGTCACGGGTAGACAAGCAACATAGGCTGTACCTATATCCAAGTCACCTTTGAAGTTATACTATATACTGGCTGAATTGCACAGAATACCATCACATATGTAGAATTCTTGAAAGAAGTAGTTGCATGAAAAATGGGTGGATCATTAGGGTGGATTTTAACCCAATGAGAGAATACTCGAACATAGGTATAGACAAAGGGAGGACTGGCATGTGAAGGCACGAGGAGGTGACCAGTCACCAGCCAAGCAGAGCGACCTCAAAGAAGTCAACCCCATTGTAATGGTTTACACTGATTGTCAACTTGAGAGGATCTGGAATCACTCAAGAGACAAGGCTTGTCTGTGAGAGTTTCTAGACTAGGGTAAGTGATGTGGAAAGATCGCCCCTACATATGCGGGCATCATTCCATGATGGGGGTCCTGGGCTGAATAAAAAGGAAAAAGCAAGCTAAGCATCAGCTTCTTTTCTCTCTCTGTCTCTCTCTCTCTCTGTGTCTCTCTCTCTCTCTCTCTCTCCCTCCCTCCTTCCTGCCACCTCACCTCATACTCTTTCTACTCCTACCATCACAACGTCCAGCCCAGGATGAACTGTACTCTAGAACTGTGAGCCGAAATAACCCTTCCTCTCTTCAGTTGCTTTTGTCAACATTTTGTCATAGTAACTAGAAAAGTAACTGAGGCATCTGTGGACACCTTGGCGTTGGACTGCCAGGCTCCAGAACAATGAGGCAGTAGAATACACTGCCTAAAGCTCCCGGTCTGGAGTACTTGGTGATTTCTGACCCTACAAGCAAGCATGTGCCATAAATTCTTTCACCAACTTTGCAACCACTCTAGCGCTGAAGCTCCAGGTCTGTTGGGAGTTTTGCAGATCTACATTACAATTACGTTTCTGCATATAAAGTAATGCCTGGTAGAGAATTAACACTCAAATGATATTTGCAGCACATATATCAAAATTGGAATAATAGAGAGAAGTTTGGCATGGACCCTGTGAAAGGATAGCACACAAATTTGTGAAGTGTTCCAACTTCTTATAACACCCTTTGTTGGGGGTTTATACATACATCTATGAACATGAATTATGTATGCATATGTATCCACAAATATATGCCTATTTACTTCTATGTAACAAAGATTTGGGGTTTTTCAGAAAAAAAATAAAAGAAATGAAATGAGTAGTAAGAACTTCGATTTTTTTCTTACAAAGATGAAGAATAAAACATCTTGTGTCTATGATTCAACCAAATTCTAGGAGGTATAGCTATAGCAATAAGAGACAAATTCACAGCTAAAATGTACAAAGGAGGGAAGGAAAGGAAGAAGACATCTTTGTTCTCAGGTGGCGCAATCACCTATGTAGAAAATTTAAATAAATTACCATATAATTAATAAGTAGTTTGAGCATGATTGCAGGCTATAAAGTTAATACACATTAAACAAAGATGTGAAGGGAAGGTGGTGTTAAGGAAGAAAATACATACAGGGAAAGGTAATACTAACAGGGCCATTTGAGGGACCATATGGAAACCTACTACAGTTGAGGCTTCTTAAAATATACACACATATAAAAGAAATCTAATTGGAGTCACCAAAAAACAGGGGAGATATAGCACTAACTAGACATCTTTCAACACTGAATGAAATCCCCCAGTACCAGGAATGAATTACAGTTAATAAAGTTGTTGGTCGAAGGTGCCCATGGAAACTCCCAAACAATTTGAGTTAATGCTAAGTCTACTGGTTGCTCTCCATAATTCGATGGTAAAGCCCTATTGCTGTAGACAGCACTTACAAACTTATTGAATGCAGAGAAGTGGAGCTGGTACCCAACTAGATCCTTTACTCCTACTTATTAGTGTTCATGATACTAGCAGGCACTTTGAACACTACCAGAGAGAAAAGGTCAACACCAACCCAGTTACATATCCTTTGATCTACAGTAGGAATCTGCCTACATAATACACTGGTACAATAATGGCTATATAGTTGTGGGAGTAACCAACCACTGCCTGATTGGATTGAAGGCCCATTCCATGTTATGGGACACATACCTAGCACTGCTCAGGTAGCCAGAAACCTGAGACTAGATAGGCCATGGACCTAGGGGAAAACCACACAACTGTTCTTCTAAGGGAGAGTCACAATAAAATGACTCCTACTGACATTCCGCTACACTTATAGACCGGTTTCTTGCTCAGATTTTATCAGAGCAACTCCTCCTGCCATAGATGAAAACTAATACAGAGATCTACAAACGAACAACATACAGAAAGTGAGAGACCTTGGAATACTCAGCTGTAAAAAAGATATCTTCATTCAATACCTCCCATACCTCACATAACTCAGGGAACTATGTGAAAAAAGAAGCGAAAGGATTTTAAAAGCCAGTGGGGAGAGAAGACACCAAGAAAACAGGACCTTCCAGACACAGCAGAACTGACACATAGAAAGTCACAGAGACCGTGAAGGCATGCACAGGGCAGACAGAGGTTCAAGCGAGATAGGCTTCCAGAACTGAGTTTTCTTATAGATCAGCAATCAAAGAGTTGAATTCAAAATTAAAAACACAGGGGCTGAGATGCAGTTACCAGCCACATGCAGAGGAAGCAAGATGAGAAGGCCTCATTGATAAAAGGTACCAAGCCATGTTGCTAAACATAGACAAGAATTGTGAGTTAATTTAAGTTGTAAGAGCTAGTTAATAATATTCCTGAGCTAATAGGCCAAATAGTTTACTTTAAGAATGGACTGAAGATATGATTCAGTGCTTAAGAACACTGGCTGCTCTTCCAGAGGACACACGTGCAGTTCCCAACATTCACACGGCTATTCACAATTATCAGTGACTCCAGTTCCAGGAAATCCAATGGCATCTTCTGATCAAGCATATATGTGGTACACACAAATACATGTACACAAAAATTAACTAATAATTATAAATTTTAAAAGCACACACAATAACATTTGCATTATCACCAAAAGCTATAAAATATTTAAGTATTAAACCTAAGAAAATGTGGGACAGCAAAATGGGTCAATGGGTAAAGGGCACCAAGCCTGACCTCTTGAGTTTGATCCCTGAAATCCCTATAGTGGAAAGAGAGAAATAATTCCTACAAGTTGTCCTGCAGTCTTCACACACACACTGTAGCATGCATGCATGCGCACACACACATACTAAATAATTACATGTAATTTAAATAAAAATATATGCAGTCTAAACATGGAAATTACAAAACTATGAAGAAAGATGTCAAAGAAGTACTAAGTAAATGGGGAAGCAGTGTATGTGTAAAGACAGGGCAGCTCAATGATGAGGAACCATTAGCTCTTCTCAAATTGATCTAGAGTAAATCAAAATCTCAATACATTGATTGATCAGTATCAACAAATTGAATTCTGAGGTTTATTTGGAGATGCAAAGGAACCAGAATAGGCAGTATACTATTGAACAAGAACGAAGTCAGGAAACTGATATTATGCAACCTCAAGACTTATTATAAAGCCACAATAATCAGGATAGTAAAGTATTTGTCAAAAAATAATAATAACAAGATAGCTTGATCAACAACACAACAGAAATCCTACAAGTGGCCCATATAAATATAGTCCACTTCTTTGACAAAATATCAAAAGAAACACAATGGGCCGGGAAAGACAAATGGTTCTGGAAAAACTGGATATACAGATGCAAAAAAACTAAAAATGAAGTTTACCCCCTTCATAAGACCTTAAGATGGAGCAAAGATCGCGATGTAAAATGTGAGGTTATGTACAACCACCAAGAGCTAACAGCGGAGAAATCTAATTGACATCCAGTCAGAAAAAGACTTCCTAGACACAACACCGGTGCTGCTGTCTACAAAAGACTCAGAAAAAAATTTGCAAAAGGAAGATTTTGTTTTAATTTTGTCTGTGAAACACAGCATTGAGAAAAGGAAAAGGGAAATCCATGGGGCCAACAAGGTAAAGCCACTGGCAGCTGAGCTTGAACACCTGAGTCTAACCCCTGGAACTCCCGTGCTAGGAGAGAACCAACTCCAGCAGTTGTTCTCAGGCTGCTGCGTGCGCATGCTCACACACACACACGCACACACACACACAGACACACACACAGACACACACACAGACACACGCACACACACACACACACGCACACACACACACACAGAGACACACACACACATACACACAGACACAGACACACACACATACACATGCACACACACACACACATACACACATACACATACACATACACACACACACACATACACACACACACACACACACAGACACATGCACACACGCGCACACACAGAGGGAGAGAGAGAGAGTGTGTGTGTTAATTTAAGATGTACACAGATAAGGAAAGCCATGATGTATCCACAAGGCAAGAGTGTGGCCTGGGAAGCATCTTTTAAGCACCTACTCAGTGACTATTTGTCAATAGTCAAAGCAAAGGGCTGAGAAAGCAAAGAGATCTCAAACTCAATGATATGACTGGACAGAGATGAAATGATGAAAAAACCAAAAGAATCATGGTGACCGGAAAACACTAAAGGAGCCTGGTCTGGAGTTAAGGGACCATGGGACCTCGGTCAAGTCCCCTCCTGTGGTCATGGTCATAATCCACTGTGGACGCTGAGGATCTGTGAATATTTTTAAGTAATTTTCACTACATAATATGGGATTCAAAAATAGGTATCGGGCCTGCCCTTGAGCCCATTGTGTGGGCCTGAGCTCTGAAACTGTGTGACAACCATGTTTCTACCCAGAGAAGTGATTCTGGGACTTAGGTGGTCAGGGAAGGGTCACCAGCTTTGGAGGTTCCTGAGATCCCCAAGTAAATCACACAGGCAGGAAGCCACCAAGCGACACTACTCTCATGACAGGTCAAAGAGACTGGCAGGCCCTTTGGAAAGGAATGTGTGTGGCTATGATGTTTATCTTGATTGTCAATTTGGTGGGATGTAGGATCTCCATGGAGACACATACAAAGCATCTCTGATAGTGTTTCCAGATATGCTTAACTGAGGCAGAAGACCCACCCTGAACATGAGTAACATCCTTCCATAGTCTAGGTCCTGGGCTGAATACAAGTGAGCACGTGAGCTACCAAGCCTAGCTAAGACCTTCATGAGTCTCTACCGTGTGATATGTAGACAATTATAGTAAAGACAGAACTAGTACCCCAGAACTTAACTCACTACCTGGTGATACAGGAATCCACCCCCTGCAGCCAACAGTCAGTGAATAACCAGTTAACTCATACACCTTTGTGACTGCCCCTCATCCACAAGAGTGGACAGTGAAAAGGGCTTCCTCACCCATCCTGACAGAAGGGATGTGGCTTTACACCAACCCCATCACCTCAAGATTATAGTGGGGGACATTATTTCTCCCTTTGGAATAAATTAAAGACAAAGAGAAATAAGTGTCTGAAAACCTGAACACGGAAGACAGACTATCGGATTAAATCATTGCTTGTATGTGTGTGATGAAGTCACTGCGTGTGTGTGTGTGTGTGTGTGTGTGTGTGTGTGTGTGTGTGGTGATAATAACATTATTTTACTTACTCTTTGGGTTTATACTGAAGAATTTAAGAATGAAATAGCATGAACTCAGGTCTAGTCTGAAAGTTATCTAAGAGGAGAGAATAGAGAAGGGGGAAACTGAGAACCAGAGCTAGATGCTTCGAAGATAGTCAGCCAGTGTTGATCATCAGAGAAGCTGGGTGGGAAGCCCAGGTGGTGACAGCAGTGGTTTGTGGGCTAGTCTGTAGCTTGGAACCAGCCAGCGAACTTCAAAAATATGGACACCGTGTTTCTACCCAGAGACGTGATTCGTGACTTAGATGGTCAGGGGAGGATCACCAGCTTTGGAGGTTCCTGAGATCCCCAAGTGAGTCTCACAGGCAGGAAGTCACCAGGCCACACTACTCTCTGCTCACCTGAGGATGTTTAATTGTTCTCAAAATAAAACTGTTAGTGCATTGGGGATGAAAAGAGGGGGAGCAATGGGCAGCCCCTG